AAAAACCCCCCTGGACCCTTCCAGGACCTTCCTCAGTTTCCTTTTTGGGCTTCCAGGACCTTCCTCGTCCTCGGTTTTGGGGTTTTGGGACCATCTTCAGCCTCATTTTTGGGATTTGGGATCTGTTTCACCCTCATTTTGGGGTTTTGGGATCATTTTCGGCCTCAAATTGGGATTTGGGATCATCTTCATCCTCATTTTTGGGCTTCCAGGACCTTCCTCTTCCTCCTTTTTAGGGTTTGGGATTTTCTTCATTCTCATTTTTGGGGTTCAGGACCTTCCTCGGTCTCGGTTTTGAGGTTTTGGGATTTTTCTCCGCCCCATTTTTGGGATCTGAAATATTCCTCGTCCTCATTTTTGGGGTTCGGGATCTGTTTCAGCCTCATTTTTGGGGTTCAGGATCATCTTTGGCCTCATTTTTGGGCTTCCAGGACCTTCCTCGTCCTCGTTTTTGGGGTTTTGGGATCATCTTCAGCCTCATTTTTGGGATTTGGGATCATCTTCGGCCTCATTTTTGGGGTTTGGGATCTGTTTCACCCTCATTTTGGGGTTTTGGGATCATTTTCGGCCTCAAATTGGGATTTGGGATCATTTTCAGCCTCGTTTTTGGGCTTCCAGGACCTTCCTTGGTCTCGGTTTTGGGGTTCAGGATCTGCTTCGGCCTCAAATTGGGGTTTGGGATCTTTCTCATCCTCATTTTTGGGGCTCCAGGACCTTCCTCGTTTTTATTTTTGGGTTCGGGATCTTCCTCATCCTCATTTTGGGGTTCAGGATTATCTTCGGCCTCATTTTTGGGTCTGGGATCCTCCTTGTTTTTGGTTTTGGGGTCTGGGATCTTCCTCATCCTCATTTTTGGGATTTGGGATCATCTTCAGCCTCGTTTTGGAGCTCCAGGACCTTCCTCGGTCTTGGTTTTGGGGTTTTGGGATTTTCTTTGGCTTCATTTTGGGGTCTGGAACCTTCTTCATCCTCATTTTTGGGGTTCGGGATCTGTTTCAGCCTCGTTTTGGGGGTTTGGGATCATCTTTGGCCTCGGTTTTGGGCTCTGGAATCTTCCTCATCCTCATTTTGGGGTCCAGGACCTTCCTCCTCCTCCTTTCAGGATCCAAACCCTTCTTCTTCCTCCAAATTTTGGGATCTCAAACCCTTTTCCCTCCCCATTTTCCCATCCCAATCCATTTTCCCCCCCA